GTGAAAGGCTGGCAGAGGGTGTGGCCTCTGGGTATCCCCACGTCAGGCCTCTGGGTATCCCCACGTCAGAGTACCCAGGAAGAAAATGAGAAATCTCCAACGAGGCGTTTTGGGGAGGTCTTTTCTGTGTTAGAGTTGTACTCCCTACAGGGTGTACTTTGAGGGGTTTTGACTCTGCAGACCGTTTACATGCATAAAAACCGTCATAACACACAAGGGGACGGGTAATAACCGGAAAAGCATGACATGGGACCTTTAAGATATATATTTTTAAAGGGAGATCGGGGCTATTCTGGATAATGAGCACATTCTAATTTGTGCTTTGTTCCATACATTTCTGTAGGAACATTGTCAATGAAGGACAACAACATGTGAAGCAACTTGTAAACACATTGACATAATATAACATTTTGAGTATTTTGAACCCATTATTATTATCAATAGTTGCTTATTTACTACTACTGTTGTTGGTGTCTACCCACTCCTGAAGGAAATATCTGGCTCTCTTTTTGCTCAACTCCACTATATTCACTATCTCTGGTCTCTAACTTGTTTGTTTGAGCTTTGGTACTGATCAGGTTTTAACAGCTGCCTGCTGAGGCCGAAAAATATGCTATGTATGTGTAAGTGAGAGGGAACAAAAACAATAAAGCTGTGAGCTGGATGGCTGAACAATGAATAACTATAAAGCTGTGTACAGGGGAGAGGAGCTAAACTCAACTGATAACTCTCTGTAGGTTTATTATTACTGATCGTGTTATTTGATACGTTGTATTATGAGGTAAATGTTATCAGCTTTAAATACATTATTTGGATTCTTCCTCTATCAAAAGTAGATAGATGGATGAATGGATGGATAGATAAATAGATAGATAGATGGATAAAGTAGATAGATAGATACATAGATACATATTGTAGATGGATAGATGCATAGATAGATACATAGATTGGTTGTACATAAGTTCATAGCTAGATTGTAACTAGCACACATTATATCCTAGCCCTGTGAGGGTCAGAGATAATTTGTTGTGGTGCGGAATGGGGTCGTGACCCCAACCGGTCAGCGGGGTCAAATCTAACAGCAGCACTGAGCCCAAGAAGGTCGTTAAAGAGACAGAGAGGCCTGGTGGGGGGGAACTGAACGGGGGATGCTGTTAACCCCTTCCCCTGCCTCCCTGTAGAAACGAGAGGAAGCAATGAAAAAGGAAATGTAGTGAAGGAGAAGAGATGAGAGGTCATATTATTGTAGCATAGCAACCCAGGTTTCAGTGTGGGTTGAGGCAGGCAATAATATATAATATTGCAGAGAGGTTAGACAGCTTAGAAGAACCTTTCAAGATGGATGTGGAAAGAGAGGTGCACTTTCTGAGCAGAAGAGGGGGAGGGAAGGTAGGAGAGGGGGTGGGGGTGAACAGAGTTGGTGGAAAAAAATAGCCTAATCCTCCCATCTCCATCCACTCCCCCCTTCGTGTCTCTCTCACTCGCTCCTTCTCTTTCTTTCCCTCCCTCTCCCTCCGCTATGTGCATCATTAAAACAAGCAGAGTAGTGTTCCGAGCGTGGGGCTGCACTGAGACGGTGACCTCCACAATAAGAAGATGTTCTTGCTTCGGGGGAAGACAAGGTCGTATTGTACTCCTCTATCTCCCTCTCTCGTTCTCCTACTACTTCCAATGAAGTAAATGAGATTTGGAGGGGGGCGGGGGGTAGGACAGTGGAGGAAGGGATCAAGAGGGTAGACATGCAGAAAGAGAGACGGAGATATTGAGATGAAGAGACAGCAAGGGCAGTTTAATGTAGGATTCATAACACAGCGAGCGGGAGGTAAGATATGAAAAACAAGGAAAGATCTGAATTCCCCTGAAGTAAAGTGGCTAGGAGGGTTAGAGCGAAGCAGACAGGGGCCGAAACCTCAGAAACGCAGCGTATGAAAATCCTGAATTTGAGTCTGCCTATTTTTCATTTGGGAGGAAGATTATGCCTGCCCTGAAATGGGGAAAATACACGTGTTTTCTCCAGACACGCAGATGGACGGAGTGAGGTCAGCCAGGAGTCGTCCTTATCAAAAAACACCGAGACTTGAGGGAGGACTAGCGCTATCTGCATCCTCGTCCAGCGGCATCTTTCCATCATGTACATACAATACCCACAAAGGCCCCTGTAGGGAGGGAAGGAAGTCCTATGGGTGATACAAGGACAGGCAGTGGTGTGAACACCCCCCCCCCCTCCCCTGCATGTCACATTCACACAGGAACAAAATGTGTGGGCAGCGGACACAAACACATTCTCTGTATCCTCCAGATGATTATACATCCTTTAAATCCACTAACCTCGATTCATTCTGCTTCTCCTTGTATTCTTCCTTGCAATTCATTCATTATCACTTTCCTTAAGGAATCTGCTCATTCTTTGGATTCCTTTCCACTTTTTATTAATGCCATCTTTCCTTCCTTACCTCTTGCCCCTCAATTCTTTCCGTCTTCTCTTCCTTCCTACCTCTTGGTTCCCATACTCTTAATTTGCTCTTTCCCTCTGTGGGTGGACTCTTTATAAAAGCCTTGTCGTTTCCCAATACTGATTTGAGTATCACTAAGCTGCACCTTCACACATATTGTTGTCTCACACCTTGTGCCAAATATTCCTTTGTAAAGCCTTCCCCCATCCCCTGCCTGCACCTGGTAGAGATAGTGCTTTTCCAGCTGCAGGCTCTGCTTTCTATACAAGCAGGGCTAGGATGGCAGAGGTAGCACACAGCTGTTCCCCTTGGTAAATTGATAGTGAAGGGTAGTGGATGTGGCTTTGAAAGAGCCAAGTGCTATTTTTACGACAGTTGTAGATTTTTTGCTGTTTAATTTGATGTGACCAATTACGCCGCTGCATTCCTCAGCAGGGGGGCACGCTGGGAGAGCAAATTAATACTCGACTTCAAAAAGTTTTCCAAAAGTGCGTTAGCTCATAGTTTGTCGCTATTCAAACGCAAGTCATAACGAAGGGATCTGGTCTCACTTCTGCACTGAGCAAAGATGTGTGTCTCTTCTCTTGTCTGACTGATTTTTAAATGCTTTATCCCAAGCCTTAGATACAAGTAAAAACAACAAGCAATAATTTTTAGAAGAGGGACAGTCCCATTGGATAAGCAGCATTTCAGTCTGACACACTAACCCCCCTCCTAAATGCAAACACACACACAAGTCCACAACACACGCATCACCTTGTGTTTCAAGGACCCTTTGTGAACATAAGTACCACACACACACACACACACACACACACACACACACACACACACACACACACACACACACACACACACACACACACACACACACACACACACGTACTACACATTATGCTTTGCCACCAGCTCTCTTCCCCTTAAACTTTTCCCACTTCCTCAAACATAAAGCGATTCCTGATTACTGCACATTATTTCCTGAGAAACAAGCCCCTCCACAGTTCCGCATTATACGGACATTTACACACAATTGAACAATCACACTCCTGCCAACAATACTAAATTTAACTTAATCATTTAAAAAATATATAGGCAGTCCTATACTGTACTGCCAGTTATTTTAATCAGTCAAATGGCTTGTACGTGTTACATACAGTGCTTTCATTGGTGAAAAGTACATTTACTACTGTACTTCAGAAAATATTGTACTTTTTATTCCACTTCATTTTTCTGAACACTACAGTTAGTAGTTAAGCTATTTGTCAGACAATTAATATATACATTATCTTTTGCACTAAACTATCTAACTTAATGTAAGGAATTAAAAACTAGACACACATCCAATCTACAACTCTTAAATGCTGTATTCCAATTGAGGAAACCATACTGACATCTGATAACATGTAAAAGATAATAGAGCCATAACCAGGGCTATTTTCTGCAACATTTCTTTTTTTTAAACTTTTTAAACTTTTTAAAATATTTTGCTGATATATCAAAAACAATTTAGTTGTATTCTGGCTACTGCAAGTTCACTTAACTTAGTATTTGTATGTTGTTTTATTGGTACATTAGCAAATGTAAAGGTTCTGAGTACTTCTTTCACCTTTGAGTATTTGGCTACATACATTTATTTAAATTCTTCCCTTGCATCATTACTTAGCTATTTCTAGCTGTTTATGAAACTGCTTCCCAAATCTCTCTATAGTCCATTACAAGCATTCAAAAAGGTTTGCCCCCTCATAACTTCCCCTATAACGTACAAAGTGTAATGAGAAAAATCCATCATGTGTGAAGGGGAGAGGTCACGTTGGTGGAATTACCCCAGACTTTTTTTTTTTACCAAAAACCGGCCTGCATGTAGAACATCACATGGCTCAGAGAGGTGTTTTCCAGCCAAACAGTGTCAAACTGTAAATGTCAGTGTTGTTTTTTTATACTGTGACTGACTGGTGTTTTCTTGTTTGTGCCACAAGAGGGGGTAAGTTACAGTAAGCCTGGGGTCCTTACTGAGCCCTATGGCAACAGACGCACAAACCAGAAGCCCCATGAACCACACGAGACTCATGACAACCCCCTGCTCACATCTTAGCCCACAATATAATAATAATGATACTAATAATAATAATAATACTAATAATAAAACTGTAGATAATTATGAGTAGTCATCTTAGTATTATTATGTCGTGTTTTATTACATGACATAATTTGCCTGAGGGAGTCTTACAGGAGTGGGACTCGCCTTAGATCAGATGGATACTCGCGGTGTGTGTGTTCACGTTGTCTCATTTCCTGACTCTGCCCAGAGAGAGAGAGAGAGAGAGAGAGAGGTGAGAGAGAGAGAGAGAGAGGAGATACGGGGACACAGAGAGAGAGAGAGAGGATAGTGAGTGTAGGGGGGAGAGTGAGATAGAGAGAGACGGTGAGAGAGGAAGAGAAAGAGACATAGAAATGCACAGAGGAGAAGGAGGAGGAGGGGGAGGCTCCTGATACCAAGACACGGAAAAGCAGGGGAGGGAAAGAGAGAAAGAGAAAAAAGGGGCTGGTGGAGGAAGAAGAGCCGGGAGTGGGAGAAAACAGGGGGAATAACACTTAAAGAAAGCATACAGAGGAGAGGAAGGACAGTATAGTGCTTTGGACATCCCCTCCTTTCTTCTCCCAGGCTGTCACACCAGATTGGACTCCGAAGGACCGACACCGCGTCCACCCCAGACCCCATGGGGTAACAGGTATGTCTGACTTCCTTATATCAGTAGTAGCTCCCTTTTTACCAGCACTGAGCCCCGATCCTCTGCTAACAGGTTTCATTGAGACGGTGGCGGGTATAGCAGGATTTCCATGCGTTTATATCATGTCAACAATTAGTTTAGTGCCTCGGAGCCATCGCGTCTACAGCTGATAGTTGGTAGGCGCACAGGTTGGAGACATGACACGATGAAACTCCTTGAAATCGTTGCGCTGTTACAGTTGGCCGTCGGAAAAGCTACTGTATACGAAGGCCTGTCTTTATGTTTCCGCTGATTTCTTTTATTCCAGTCCATTGGCATCATATTAGCCACGGCATGAGTGTATTTCTGACAGCTAAATAGCCGGGCGAGTGAGCAGGCGACAGTCTGAAAGTACGCCTACCTGTTCCATACGTGATCGCCAGCTGTCTGTTGCGCGTGTTGATATTTGGAGACGCTGTCAGTCGTTGATTCGCACATTGTACATTTCACACACTATCAGAGAACACAGGCAGGTGATTTTCAATGGAAAAACGCTATTGATGATTACTTTAATTTGTCTGGACTTGTGTTTATGTTGGCAAACTGCTCTAAAATGTAAATACATGCAATTAACTAAATGGATAACCCAGTTGCGCAAATATTATTTAAATACACGTCATACACCTGCACACGTATTCTTTGTACTTTTAAGAAATATCCCGCACGCTGAGATATACAGTAATATGCAACACTTGCAGACACATACGTGATCCTCTGTTTGGCTTTCTGTCAGCTGATCGAGTTGAATGAAAACAGCCGATCCTGGGGAAATTTGCAAAGTTTTGAACAGCGTGACAACCTATCGCCTACATCGGCTGCGGGGAAATTGTCGTGCACAGATACCATGATGGCACACAAAATAAAGGGTGATGCTCCGTGCAGCCGTCTGGAGGGGATTCAAAATGAAAGCGCTCAGAGGCTGGAAGACAAGGGCTTAAACCCTCCTCCTTCTCCCCTCGATTAACCTCCAAAAGGGGGATTTCTCCAGCTGGAAATGTCTGCTGCGTCAACACCCAACCCCAGAGTATCAGACAAGACAAGATGAGGGGGGATTTTGTTTGCAGATGGTGCTGCCTGTCGGTGTATTTTTTCGAATTGTTGAGCTACCGCTGATAATTATCTGATCCGTGTGGAGAGTTAAAGTGTGGCGTCAAGTGTTTGTTGGCGACTGGAGCTGAAAGCGTCTCTCCCTCGCTGGTTCCCTGTCTGTCTCCTGCTCTGTGTGTGTCTGCTGTCTGTGTCTGCCCTCTCAAACCGGTCAGTTCCGTCTTCCTCCATTTTCTACCATGCTTACCATGTGAGAAAGGGGAACAGCCCCACTTCATTCACGCTCTGTATGTGTAAACAGTGAGTCGTGCTCCTCCAGCGCTGCCTGCTGCCAGGTGAGTCTCCAACAAAACAATCTGTCAAAGTAACACAGAGCTCAGCTAATCATCATCTCTGCACTAGGGTTTCCCAACTTTTTTAATAAAACCAGCGATTGACCCACAGATTCCTTTTTTATTGTTTACTTTAATTATTACACTTGTTGGGAAATGCAAAGCGTTGTTGTTGAGTAGATAATAGTAAATGTACATCTACTGAAAACACATTAAGAAACTCAGTCGTTCTAGGCTGCTAACTTTAGGCAAATTATACCACTACACATTTACTAGGAGATCCTCTGCCTCTCCAGAATAGTCTCTGTGTTTTTATTTTATTCTAGTTTGAGGAACTTAAAAGTGCCAACCAGCCATGTTTTACTTTGCTTTCAAGTTTACACTCTCAGTTTGAGTTGAAACAGCACAGACAGTTAGATCCAAGTATTTTACTCTGTTTGACAGTGGCTAACTGGATCTGTGGGATTAAGAGACAATCTAGTGATTTTTTCCAAATTGTCTTAAGCCTCACTGGATTTGTCTGCTTGTTTTGTCCTCCCTGCTGTGGAGTTAAGGGTTGGTGCTTGATATGTTAAACCCTCCAAAGTCTTTATTCAGTAATTCAATTACTGTAAGCTCGTGTTGCATGCATGTTCATCCGTGCTCATTTTGTAACTATCGAACAGAAGGTAGCTTATCTTTTGTTTTAAATCTTGACAATCCTCAACTATAATGGCATTGCCACACCTTGGCATCTAGGCTCGGAACATCTCCCAGAATGCTTTGTGTCTGTGTGTTTGCCCCCTGCTCAACCACTGAGGTTTCTTCCCCCGAGGTAGATCTGTGTAGTGTTTCCATTACAAGAGCAGTGGACATCAGTGTGTGCATGTGTGTATCTTTGTGTGTGTCTGCACCTTCTCCATCTGTGTGTTCCACGGGGAAAATATAATACAGACCAAGACAGCAGCTACAAGGATGAGTGGAGGAGTAGTGTAGGCGAGATCGGCCGAAAGATGGAAAAAATATTAGCTGCTCGTGTGCTTGTGGGATTGCAAAGGAGGATTTGAAGCACTTTCCCTCTTGTGTTATCTCTCATGAATGGACCTTTTTGAAGTTGATTAAACATTATAGGTGAATTGAATCTATATTTTTTAGGTTTTTCTTGGTTTAAAGCTGATGTGCTGTTTGTTGAAAGTGGTGGAGTTGTCACTCACTTGGATTTTTGTGGTGAGGGTGTGTCAGGGTGTAAAAAGAGGGTGAGAATATGAGACGAGGGGCTTGGTTTGGGTGGGAGTCAGGTTTGGAGCTTGTGACACTTGCCTCTTCACTGTTTGCGTGTGTGTAAGCCTGCTGGTATGTAGGTGGTACTCCTGAACTGTGTGGTAGCAGGTTAGTCTGTTTAAGTTACGCAAACCCTGAGGATAGTGTGCTACAAGAGTAAATGTTTTTATAGACAACCTGACAATAAACTGAGCAGTAAGTTTAAATCTGGTGTACATTCCCTAGATATATAGACAAAAAGAGGGCAAATGATCCCTAAGCACTCATTTGTTCCCTGTTAGCCACCTTGTACTCCATTCATCTCTCTGTCTCTATCTCTCTCTCTGCCAGTTTTCTCTTCCTGATCCCCCCTCGGAGCTCACTTGTTAATGGGAACACCTGTTTGACTAACACACTGCAAAATGAACCATTTACACTCGCGTGTACACATTGTACATGACACGCCAAGGCTCTCCTGAGTTTTCTGACAACTCTGTCTTCCATTTGTCACACTGTGAATATTATCATTCTCACGTCGGATTTGGAATCAAGACAGTTTTGCAAACATTAACCCCCGTATCCAAAGCAGCTCCCTCCCCCATCCCCTAATAACTCCCAAGGCTTTTTAGCTTAACTGCCTCTATAGCTCATTGTGCAGTGCTGAATACAGGTGTTCCTAATCCCTGTGGGGTTACACGGATGCTGTGGGGGG